GTTTAAGAATGTTATTTTTTAAATATTGAAGAATTGTTATTTTTCAGTTTATCGACTCTTGAAGTTCCCTAAAAATTCTCCAATAGTTTTAAGAACCACATTTCGACGAGCTGACTTGAAAAATATAACGTGTTGATGGTCCCAGACCATGTTTATTGGTTCAAAAATGAGAATTTTAAATACCTCGAACGTTATCATTTTACCTATTCTGGAAAAATTGTTGAAATTTTTGAAGAAATGAAGATAAAAATAACATCTACAAGAAAATCTCTTTAGATAATTTTCAAAAGGTGTTCAAAAAAACAGTCAAAATTCATATTGAAAAATTGAGATTCCTAAAAAATTATCTAAAATACTTTTCGGGGCGCTGATTCGAAAAATAAGTATAACATGTTGATGGTCCCCAACTAAGAGTTTCGAAAATTTCGTTTTGAAAATGATATTTTTTAAAAGTCTCGAAAGCTTGGAAAGCACTTAAAGAAATCAAAAAGTGGGAGGTATTGAAAAATTGCGATCTTTGGAAACTTGCAATTCTGGGAAACACATTTCGACGAGCTTGATTTAAAAAACGTTGGAATATGGAAAAATTGAGTTTTTTTAAACCGAAAATTACATTTCATTGAGCTGATTCAAAACATGACGTGTTGACGGGTCCGGACGAATATTTTTGAAAAGTGCGGCTTGGAAATAAAAACGGTAAAAAATTCATACGGGAGAGGGGTAATTTTTGACTGTTGATTGTTTTAAAACTTGCCTAAAAATCTTCCAAAAATTGTGACAAGCACATTTCGACGAGTTGATTCGAATTCTTATCAGGTACAAATAAAACCAGGCGAAAAATTCAGTCAATTTACACTTTTTGTAATCTCCGTTGTGTGTTTGCATTTTACATTTCACAGAGTAAAAGCTAAAATTTTGGGGCTGGTTACAAAAATAAAATGCAGTTACACGATTCATCACAATATGAGCAAAAATAGAAACTTTTGGCAGCAGCTATCTTTATAATGCTAAATATTAAACGAAGAAGTGGATTTTAGATTTACTAAACTTAATGTAATTTATCTGTCACTAATATTTCTTTGTGAACTTTTTTTTACAGGTACATATCCACTTTTCTGAATTAGTTACCAGAACAAAATTAAACACCTCATAAATCACCTTCTGCTACACGTACGACAATTAAATTTTTATCTCACGATGATCGCCGTCTTGGTAATTTTCCTAACAAATTTAATTTTTACAAAAAAAATATTACTCATTATAAATTCTGATCCTTAATGATAATTCCACTTGACTGCGTTAATCAGAGCGGAACTCTAAATTTAACAATCAAAAGTTAGCAATCAAACAGATCACCTAAAAAGTGAGGCACGAACTTCTGCACAAACATCTCAATTTAATTAACTGTCGATCTATTATCTTCATACTTTAGCCTCAGGTGAACTAATTTTAGGTAATCTCTAATGTAATAGCGAGTAGCTGGTTTATTGAAAAAAAAAAAACGTTACACACGTGGAGTGTACAACTCATTAATATGATTATGATGGATCATTGAGTCCAAACGTAACATAATTTAGCAGTAATAAAGTCAATAAAGATTACAAAGAATTCAAGCCCGGTATAGTAGCAATAAATCATTCTTAGAATGTAGCAATAAACGGGGGAAATGACGTGTTAGGGCAGGAGTTTTTCGCGTGCCTATTAAAGGCAGGGTTTTTCTTTAAAATGAGCCCTTCTTATGCAACAATGCACCCTCAACTTACGAGATAAACCACAAACCCAAGCGGATGATCTTAAAAATAGAGTGTAAATGATAGCGACTCATAAGATACATAGAGTAGTGCTGCGAATATCCTAAAAGATAACTGATAAATATTCACCCTCGAGGGTGCACGACTCAGATTTACGACACAATACGAGGCCAGCGACTAACTAAGAAAAAACGAAACATATACAGTCAAAATAAAATAAGTCGCTTTATTGCATTACGAGATAGCATCTGCATATTATATTGCGGAATCGTATTAATATTAATTTATCGTTGCTTTCTGGGTCGGACTCGGAACACATTTCTAACCCCTAAGGGCCACATAAAAACGAATTATGAAACAATTAAAAGATGCAGCAGCTAGATGGGGTGAGCCGGACGCTCTGGTCTACCCTGACTCAGCTATTATATTAGTGTAGCAATTTATGAATCTGATTCCTTGTTTCCTGATTTTTATTCCTCTCACTATCGCTCATATTTTATGATATATTGCAGCAGGGGTGTTAAAATAACGGATACGGAAAATGGCTGATACCACAACAATGTAGCAGACTAATATTAAATCATCACAGCCACGAAAGCGGAATTAGCTTCGGCTCTTTTTAAATTAAATTCTTTCACATATCGCGTGCATTCGAAAACGATTTTTTGCCGGGATAAGTCGGGGCATCAAGCAAATTGCACGTGGGACCCGTGGAAAATGTCATAGGGTTCTCAGACGACCGACAATTATATTAATCTTCCGCAACAATCGAAGGGGAAAGTAGAGTAGTTTATTTTTTAATGATATTTTGCCGCAGTTTAAATACCTTTCGATTTAAAATTTGGTTAGTTTAAAATGACCAAAAACTGCATTTTTATGTTCCACATTCTCCTTTTCAGTTCCCAAGCGTAGGCGGATATGTTGCACTGCGTTTCAAGGGCGAGGGAAGGGAATAAATAAACTTAAGACTAATTTCTCTTATCTCAAAATAATTCCATCGATTGAAAAAGGAACAACAAATAGTTTTCATTTTAAATTGTCGTATATGTTTGCCTAAAGGTACCAGGGTGATTCAGCGGAACGCTCAAAGATGGTCGCGAAAGCTAGCCACTCTGGGCAACAAGGACAGAAACATATATACGAGCGCGTAATACCATATAGTATACACGGTGATTTCGAAATATATGCAAGAAAAAAAAATGGGAAATAGCTTACAATAAGATTATTTCACGGGAGTTGGTTTATGGTAAATTTTTGCAATTCAGAGTGTGTCGATATGATAATCCTTAATGGTGTGCGCGAACATTTGCATCAGTGGTTCAGCAACTCCGAGATCATGGTACCTTCAACCTCAAACTCACGATCGCGGCCGTGATAGGACAGAAAGAATACTGCAAGCTGAAGAACAAATTTTGGAACGCGACGAAGAAGAGCCCGACATCAGCACTCGCCGACTTGCAGCTGAAGTTGGAGTTTCACACCGTTGTGTAAATTACTCCAAGTGGTTGTTACCCCAGTGTCGTGAACGTCTTAACTTTTTAAAGTGCATTTTGTTTACGAATGAAGCAAGATTCACGCGCAGTGCCGTTCTCAACAGCCACAACATTCAAATTTGGTCCGATGAAAATCCACATGCTCGTCAAGAAGTACATACGATTGTTGTTGTTATTACAATACGTGTAGTATACATTTCTAAATAAAGTACTTACTATACCCACATCGACTAGTTTTCGCGGCCACGTTCTGCACGCATTTTACATTGTCGCCGGCATACCTGTTATACTATCCTCAAACGTATTTGGCGTTTATGACTTCACACCAATTTGACTCCCATTATAATTCAATAGGCCGTCACAACCGGATGTCTTAAACCCGCTCACCGATACCTACCTGAAAAGACCTTTTCTGGTAAAAGCACAGGGCAGGACTGAGTTTTGCATTTACCGACAACTGCGCCTTTCGAGTTTTTTATTTTAAGTAAAAACAAAGTAACTTTGTACTCAATCATTTTTTATTACAGCACAACTATTTACTTATTAACTACTACTGCTTATTTATTGATCGAAATAGTCACTGTCATCATCACTCGACTCTTCTAAATTAATAATTAACGGTGTTATCAACCGTGCCCTGTACTGGTCTTCTTCTTTTGTGGAATGTCGTACACAATTGGCCCACATTTCGGCAGTTATTTTGGAAGCTTCTTCCCTAATTATGTCAATTGTTGCACTACTAAATTTTGGTGCCGTATTATTCCTTCTTATATTATTTTTCATTTGCGACCAGATTAGTTCGATGGGGTTAAATATACAATGGTACGGCGGAAGTCTAATCACCCTAAATCCACGATCTCGCGCCATAGCATCTATTTTATATTGTTTCTCAAATTTTCGAGTGTGTAACACTTCTAATAATTGTGTCAAATTCGCTCCGAAGCCAGGTAGGTACAAGCATTAAGGATTATATTGTTTGAGAAGTATTTCTTGGAAGTGGTTAACGACTTAAATCCGGTCCCTTATTATTTTCGGAAATTCCGTTATTTAAGTGTATTAAAAGTATGTTTGAGACGTTATCCTGTTACTTTTCAACTTGAGTTTGCTTTGAAAGCATTTAAAACAGTACACGTGTGTCAATATGTCGAAGATAACTCAAATTAATTTATAGATTAAATCTTTTCCTGAATTTATTCTTCAAGAAGGCACTGTGTTTTGTAGCTTCTGCTACAAACCGCATTTCTACTTACAAATATATGTTTTTGGGATCACCGGCAAAATTTTTTGCTACAATATTTCGAAAAGTATTTAAAAATAAATTGTTACAAAAATACTAATTAAATGGCCTGTTATTATTTTTTTTTATTTATTTGTCACTATTTAATGTAAGACAATAATTTTTAAAAATTTTAACAAACAAAATTACTCTGAGTCCGGTCCTTCGCGTCTCGACCGTCCCTGGCACGTGGCATGGTTTACATTTACTAAGTTTTATGAAGGGTCGGCTGTAAAGTACTTTAAACGTCAAAGCCATAAACGCCAAATATCTCTGAGGATAGTATAATCTGATATCGTGCTAAAGGTGGAATTCCTATATGACGACTGAAGCGACTACAGCCGCGCCGCCGCTATGGTGCGACTCTAGCGGCACGACTGAGACGACTCTACTCAGGTGGTTTGAGTCGGACGACTCAACTGCCTTGTGGAGCAGTTGAGTCGTATCAGCCGTCGTGAGAGGTGTACTAGTTATATTTCGAAAATGGATGATTCTCAATTAATCGAGTTAGTGCGAGAGCATTCAGGCCTTTATAATCCAAAACACCCTGAATATAAAGACCTTAACATTAGGGAGAACGTATGGATGGAAATTGCGGCTTTATTAAAACAACCAGGTGAGTGTAAAACTTTTTTCATAAGTAGCTATGAAGCATGCCATTGTCGACTTGTTTAGAGGTAGTAAAGTTCAACTTTTGCGACCAAGGTTTCAAAAAGAAGATTGAGGTTATGTATCAAATACTTGCGCCTGTTTTAGTGGAAGATTGTAAAAACCGATGGAAAAATATCAGAGATACGTACATGAGGCGCAAAAGAAACAAAAAACCGCTCACAGGATCCTCCCGAGCAAAGAAATTACGGAAATGGTACCTGGAGAAACACCTTGTATTTCTAAATCAGGTTGATTGCGAAAGGGAGTAAGTAAAAATAAAAATAATTATGAATGAAAGTGAAATTGGGGATAATTTTTTTAGGACTTTGACAAATATTGGGAGACCGGAGTCACAAAATGGTAATATTCACTATGAAAGTCAGTCAACAGAAGATGTAGATGAAGAAAAATACCTAGATGATTGTCAAAATGATACTGCAGAGATCTTCAATACAAACATCATGGAAGCTAGCACTCACTCCGCCACCGAAAGTGTTATTGAGCCAACACAAGTAGTACTTGATAGACGAAAAACCACTAGCAAAAAAGCTTCTGATACTATAGCTGAAATATTAAAAAAAAATGCTGATAATACAGCTGCATTACTATCGGCTCTTGTTAATAAAAAGCAAGAACATCCTATTGATGTTTTCTTCCAAAGCATGGCGGAGTCTGTTAAGAAACTATCCAGTGAAAGACAAATTCGTGCCAAAATGCATATTTGCAACTTTATTGGCCGACTTGAATTAGAGGAAATCGGTTGCTTTGATGATGTTTCTGTATAGTAAACCCAGTTGATTTGTAGCTAGTAAAATTTACAGCCCAATTAACGGATATAGAGGACAATTGCCCGTTATTGTCCGTTAATGGGGCTGTAAAGTTTTACTAGGTGCAAGTCAAGTGAGTTTAATATACTCTTTCATTTGAGATTTATTCTAGAAAATTCACCGAAAGTTTATTTTCCCTTGAATAAGCAGTTCGGTAAAATATTGCAGGTCTCTATGTCCACATTTTAAATATGGCTGAAAGTGGCGACCGCAAGAGTGGAGACGAAAACTGTCATTTCTTATACTGTTACTGTTATTATCTGTATTATTTTTAATGTATATATAAGATATATTTATAAATAAAATGTTGCAAAATAAAATTGAAAAATTTTTCAGATATACGGGATATGTTGGAATTCAAGAGGGAGGGAAATTCTGTCGAAATAACCTTCGATCAATTTTTACTTTCCGAGCGTAAGCGAAGGAAGTATTGTAATCGAGTCCGTCTGTCTGTTTGTCTGCCCGTCTATCTGTCTGTTTGTCTGTCCGTCTGTCTGCCCGTCTGTCTGCTGTCTGTCCGGAGAGATTATCTCTGAAACTATTGGCCAGGTTGTTGTCAAATGTTACATCTCTATTATGAACATCATGTAGATGGTAAAACGCTAACGAAACTATGGCTATTCATCCCCAACAATAATGTGATGACGTCACTTCAAAATCGTACATAGTAAATGCGTTTTAAATTGTGTAAATTAACATAGTCTTACATATGTAATTTATGACTCCCTGTTGAGTTTTTAATCGAAACGTCCAGATTTTTGAAAAAAAAATAAATAAAATTTTGAAACAACATTTTACAATTTAATTTTGAATCTGCAAAACCAAATACTTTGAAATCTTACAGATGTTTTAAAGCTAAGACAAACATAATACATTTTTAATCAAAATATATTTGCTTATCCCCTCCAAAAAATTGATGTCGTCAGCTTAAACTTTTGACGAATAAATCCTAACTGAAATGTGCAAAATATGATGAGTTTTTACTTGTGATTTATCATTCGATTCATATTTTTTGGATTTACTTATACAGGGTGAATTAATGAATGCGTGAATTTATTTTATTGATTTAATCAGGAACTGCAAAACCGAATACTTTGAAATTTTGTGGATATTTTAAATTTATCATAAGATAAGCATGGTGAATTTTTGATCAAAATGTATTTGCTCGCCCCCTGAAAAATTGATGAGGTCGCTTCAAAATATTCCTGAATACCTAATCCTATATCTGTAATTTATCATTGTATTCATATTTTTTAGATTTGCTTATTATACAGGATGACAAAAAAATTTAATGAATCAGTCAATTTATTTTATTGAATAAATCAAGAATTGAGTATTTTGAAATTTTTTGACGTTTTATAGTTATCATAAGCATAGTTAATTGTCAATCAAAATATATCTGTTTATTCCCTCCAAAAAATTGATGACGTCATCTCAAAATTTTGCCGAATAAATTCTACACAAAATGTGGAAACATGATGAGTTTTTACTTGTGATTTATCATTGCATTTATAATTTTCAGATTTGCTTAAATAGGAGACACAAAAAAATTAATGAATGAGTCAATTTATTTTATTGGTTAAATTAGGAACGCCTCATTCCAATTTTCTAGAAAATCTTGGGATTGCAATACTGTTTTTTTTAGTGTTACACTGCACCAATCCACGTTGAGATACGTGTCCTTGCAAAAATAAAAATTGTGTAAGGTAAAAACTTAAATCGAAAATGTTGGATATGTTTTTATTGTACTTTAGGTGCTAGGGAAGTTCTGTCGAAACAACTTTCGACTAATTTTTTAAAATTATTTACACACGGTGACTCAAAAAAAATTAATGGATAAACCAATATATTTCATTGATCAAATCAAGAGCGGCCCGCCCCATTTTGCCAAAAATTTGAGTATACAATACTATTATTATTATTATTATTAGTACTACACCTATCAAAATTCATGCATGTGTCCTTGTTAAAATGTTCACGTCATCACAAAATTTCGCTATAGAAAACTCACTTGAAATATACGCATAGTCTACTTCTTTGCCTATAATTTATCAGTCCACACATATCTTACACTCAGGAAGTAAAAATGAAAGTAACAAAAATAAATTTAAATCTTTTTCAATAATAAAATCCAAGGGCAAATAAATCAAGAGACTTTGATTATAAGACAGTCTCAATTCATCGTTCCACTTCAATAACAGTTTTTATTTAAGAACAACTGTCTCATCTGCTGGTTAAGCACTAGACCTCTTCCTTAGGTACTAAATTTTGAGCGACGCTGCTAATTGTTCGAACAGTAATAATTTATTTCGTTGCTGCCAATTTTATTTCTAGTTTTCTAGCATCGCATTAAACACTGCGTTTCCAAGCAAATTAAGTGTGAAATTTATTTACATAACACGCTCATTAATAGGTTAATTACTTTGTTGAACGCAAAGTCTGTATCTGTTCAACCAATGTCAAAACTTTTAATACTACACATTTACATATTTTATTTAAATATCCGTCGTTTTCACACCCGAAAACATAATTTCTCAGCTTGTTTTTACGAAAACCGTGAAAGTGAAGGCAGTGGAGACCAACTTGCCCATTCGACTGTCACGGATTAGTGAAGCTCACCCATTTCCAGTGAGAATCAAGCACCAGACGATTATTACCATAGTTACTGCTACCACTGCAATTAGAACATCCATCTACTCTTCCACTCGTTCCGTCTACTCTACCGCTTGCACTTCACAATTATTGCAGTCAATACATTCTCCACTCGAAGATGACGTGGCTGAAATTTGTGAAAGCAATAAACGTGTCGTTCCATGCATGTGCTAGGTGCACGAGTATATTGTAGCTATACATTTTTTTAATGTCACTCCGCGTGGGTGTGCAAAATTGAAACGCAAAGAATTCCATTTCCATATCTGCTGCCTGAAAAAACTGCCGAGCTGCCGTTAATACAATACATCATGTCGATGAATTTTTCCGCCTACTTCTTATGATTAATTAATCCGGAGTGTACTTGCTCAAAGCGTTGTCCTTTGATACGACAGTCCGATAGGCTGCACACTAAGTAACTGTCGTGCTTATTCATGAATTCCATAAATGAAGTTCAGAAAATTTCCAGCTGCATTGTTTCGAAAGACTAATTGTCTACCGTCTGAGAACACTATGACGTTTTCAGTGGGTCGACGTACAATTTGCTCGATGCCTTGGTCTATTACAAAAAAACGGTTTCGTATGCACGCGATACATGGAAGAATTTTATTTGATTTATTAGAACGAACCATCAGACGTTTATTAAGTATGTCAGATTAAAGATTTCTATGAAATGTAAGATGTTGTACCCGCAAGCAGTGCATGTCAGTGCATTCGAAATGAAAAATTGCAAGTAGCAACGAACGTAAAAATCGCGGCAAAACAAAACTTGAAACATTGCGTTTTGATGTCAAACTTGTGAAATTAACGACTACGTTTTTTGCAACCCTCTAAGCTTTGGAAAGAATTCTTTTTGTTTCATCGGTGCTCAATGGTATTTGACGTTAGTAATCTTGTACACACCGTTTTGCGTGATGAAAAGGGGACTTTCCAGGCTTTTGAAAATATGGCAACACAACAGGACATAAAACGTCTAAAGGCGTCTTTGAAGATACAAAATTACAAAAATTGTCAACACTAACTTGAGTTGTTTTTGTAATTTTGTATTTTCGGGAGAATATACTTATTTAACTGAAAAGATTTAAATTTTTTTTGGTTTTTCAATGTTCTGGTTTTATAATTTTGTTTATGAAACTCATGGAACTATGATGCAGGAGGAAGTGTCCTATGACCTTTTTGGGGATTAGATCTGCAACATGGGATAAACTAACCGCGGCGCACAAGTGACCAACACCTTATTCATCTACTAAGTTATCCGAGTTTCATAGAAGTGGCTATAAATATATGGCCTACAATTATTTAAACCTAACATTCCTCGTCCCTTAAACACAGTCAAACAAGTCTAGCTTCTTCGATAACTCATAAAATGTTTCTATTACAAGTTAAAAAAAAAGTAGCTTATTAAACTGCACGCCAAAAATTTCCTTCATAAAATTTTGTGACAACATCAACTTTTCAGCACGAATAAATGTACCAATTTTGATGAGTACAGTAGCACGGTATTCCCAGGATTTAAAAAAAAAATGACAAAAAGTAAAATAAATTGTTTCGTTGTAAAAAAATTAAGATAACTTGTGTTAATAAAGTACAGAAGTATGCGATTCTGAACATTTTAAAGAAGATTGATTTCACAAAATTTTAAAGTGGAGTATCAACTTTTTGGAAGGGGATCAATGGATCATCCACGATAAGCTTAAATTATCACAAAATTTCAGAGCAGTTTCATAGTTTCTAGTACAAAATGAAAAATTCTGTGAATAGGTATGCTAACCAAAATTTGTCTAATCCTTTCCACCAACAATCTAATGACGTGATCACAAAATTTTGCAAAGTAAATATACGATTTGAATTTTCCAAAATTGTGATTTATGAATCCGCCCTTATATTGCACCTTCGAAATTCAGGTTTTTGCGAAAAAAAATTAACAAAATTTTACAATTTAATTTAAAAACTACGACACTGAATGCTCTAAAATATATTTTAACAATAATTAAAAAAAAAACTAATAACCGTTAACAAATTTGGATTGAAAGAACAATTTATTTAAAAATAATGTATGAAGGAAGGTAACTAAAAATGTGTTTGCAAAATTCCAGATTTTCATCTTTAAATATGGCGCGTATGAAAATTTTTAAATAAGGCCACGAGCATAAGCTGAGTAAGTACTGTAATGGAAAAATAAGCTTCCCGTTTCCGTTTGCCCGTTGTCTGTGTCGACATGTATTATTGGACAGATAATCTCCAAAACTACTGGACTGATTGTTGTCAAATTTTAGGAATATTTTATTTTTTTATTTTTATTTTATTTTATTACGTTCCCCTACAGGCCGGTGGCCCAATTACAGGGGAACGGGGGACATACACAACACCCAGAGCTGGGCGGGAATCGAACCCACGACCCAAGGTGTAGCAGGCATGCACGAAGCTACCTAACCCACCCGGGTCCTCGTGTAAGATATGGCACGACGCTAACCAAAATTATCTGAACATCGCCACCAACAATTTAGTGACTTCGAAATTTTACATGGTAAATGCAACTTAAATTTTATAAAATAACGTAGCGTCG